AGATTAGCGGTGGAGTGAACTAAGGCTAAATAAGATTTGGAAATGGCCTATTCCACATAAAACTTAAGCATTTTTTGCATCCAAAATAAAAATTACTGTGGATAATTGGAGAACGCGAGGAAAAGTTTGTTCTGTAAGATGGGTGAAGAAACAGGGGCCACTTATTTTTTCATTGTCATTTTATTTGATCTCTGGGAGTGAGGCTTTTCAAAGATAGGATGCTCCATGGTGCTTCCCAGGTGCCACAAAAACATCTTAAAACATCTCCATCTTTCAAGAATTCCAAACACTGGAATTTTGATATAGATGTGGTTAGCACTTAGCTCAACTTTGATGGAAGTCCATTGGGTAACCCTGATCGAACTGGTTTTGATGGAGTTCTTAGAGATGATTATGGTGCTGTAATTTTTTATTTCTGCTCCTCGTGGGGTGCACACAACTAATTATGCCAAATTAAATGCTCTTTTGCAGGGTCTATTGACTTTGCGGAATAGAGGTTTCAATAGCACTCTGGTGGTGGAAGGGTATTCGATGAATGTCATTAGCAGAATTTGAAAAATTGAACCAGCCTTGGAAACATGCCAAGGGCTGGTTCCAAGTAGCCGGTAAACTGGCCTAACCTGGCAAGTCCCGACAAAAAGTGGTTAAAAAATAAAAAAATATAAAACAAATCTATAAAAATATGAAAATTATATTTAAAGCACGATTAAACGAAACACGTCAAAGTGAAGTTGAAAATTAGTGAAAAAATGGATTTTAAAAAAATCAATTTGTGTCCAGTGGTATATTTGAAATTATTTTTAAAATGGGAAAAATGTAAAAATAAGTATTGATGGCCAAAACACATTTCAATCTTTGCCAAAATCATGAAAAATATTTAAAAACACATTACAAATGAATCCCTTATTTTTGAGAAATTTATATAATTTTTTGTATTTTTTTAAAATATCCGGCCGGATCATCGAAACCGGCCCCTGGGCGGTTCCGATTTGAACCGCCCAAATTTGCAAACACAGATAATTAGGTGTAATAGGGAGCAAGAAGTACCTTGGAGCTTAAGGTCGCTATGGCGGCAAGTTATGAATATCTCCTTTGTTTGTGATTACCTTTTTCTCATGTCCATAGGGAGCCAAATGGTTTACTTAAGAATGGATTCTCTCTTTTTTGCCTTACCCTTTTTTTAATGTATCCCTCATTTGAGTGATAGGCTGTAGTTTCCTCTATAACAATAAATTACATTTGTCAAAATCCAAAAGACTTCCTACTCCCATGCGGGTATACTATCCATTTACTCCATCAGGGAAAACACATGGGATTCTATTTAGATTTCAAATTTTGGGGATTTAATCTCTACTATCCAAAGAATAATATCAATTAAAAAAAATTCCCATATAAACACGTTATCTGGTAGAAAAAACTAGTACCTCAAGATTGAATCAAAACAGTCCAATTTTAAAGGGCTAGATATAAGCGTCTCCAAAAATCAAAATTCCATTTTATTTTAAAAATATTCATCTAGTAATTCTTATATGTTTCTAAAAATTTAAGATCAAAAAAATCTTTCTAAATAAGTGTTTTGGGGGAGGGAGTAAATACACAATATATTCCCGTGGAATCATAGCATAGATGCTCTTGTCAAAGAAAAGAGGAATTCTTTTGGTCTACAAAAAGGAGACCCAACATACGAGAGTATTGTTAATTGGAGACAGCCTAATTCCTCTAAAGGCCAAAGGAGCTCTACTATGGCGAATGTCCAACTCTATGATGGCGACATACTTTATAGTTTTAAATATGACAGTGGTTTGTATAAGGCTGCCACCCTAAACAATCAAAGTAAGGCACACCTTTAAATAGTACGGGAATATGTTGTTTTAGTATCTGAAATATTATGATGAAATTTTATTTTCAAATCTTATTATAAAGAAAAACAGTTTGATAGGGCTACGATCTTATTAAAATAAGTAAAGTCTCACCTCATAACTCATCAAATATTGTAATTTCAGCATAAAAAAACTTTTACATCAATTATCTTGGCTTAAACATTATTGTTGAGAAAAAAAAGAAGAAGATTTCAAGCTTTAAAAATAGGGCCTATTGTAATTAATTATCTAGACCATTCATTTCGCCCTAAAAGTAAGTGTTCATAGATTTGCAAGATTTGTGCCATTTCTTTAGTTTCGAATTCATTGTCAGTATTGAAAATTGATTTTAGAGTCATCATGGAGATTTTCGTTACCAAAAGTGCATTTTGGATGAGGATTTGAGGTGAGGATTTATTTGTTTTCATAAAACCTAGGCCCTATAGAAACCTCATCCTATCATAAAATTTAAAGATTAAAAAATAGTGTAGATTCGAACAAATCTAGGAACACTCGAAAATCTTGAAAATTGGCGGTCTAAATATACATTACAAGATACACCATTTCCAAGACTTAAAATATATTTTATCTCATGTTCATACATCTTGAGGTTGAGATGATCGAGTGAAGGGTCTTTCAGCTTAGAAACAACCTCTTTTAGTGAATTTTGATGTGCACCTTAATTTGATTGTTTAGAGCCTCATCCTTATATAAACGTTTTTTGACCATTATGTACAAAAAAAAATAATGGTATAATTATATACATTTCCTTATTGTTTAATAGCATCAACCTCATGTGGGATTAAAGGGATTGTCTAACAAGATATCTTTTATCTTTTGTACATGGACGTCACAATCATTCTCACTCGTTAGATGTCAAATTAGATAGCTTGAGGTGAGTCACAAAATCCAAGAAATTTATTTATTTTGAACTTTGTGTTTATTTAATGATACTCTTACAACCACCCATTTTAAAATTTAAGGGACAAAAATAATTGTGCCTCAATGTACAAAAGATAAATGGCCTCTTTATAGATAATCCCGAGAGGAAATTGGTGCACAAGCACCTCCAATGGTCCATATTATTTAATGATACTCTTACAACCACCCATTTTAAAATTTAAGAGACAAAAATAATTGTGCCTCAATATACAAAAGATAAATGGCCTCTTTATAGATAATCCCGGCAGGAAATTGGTGCACAAGCACCTCCAATGGTCCATATTATAACGGAATAAAGTTCATGATCACAATTTTATTTTGCTTTCAATTTTAATTTTGGATGTGTAAACCATGCTCCTATGGGAGCACAATGTATATCTACTCCCTCGTCATAAGACTTTTTTAGCAGAATTTTTTCAATTTGAAATTTTATGAACGACCTAAGAATAAGTAGATAATTATTTTTATAATAAAAAATTTAAATTTTGAGTTTTTTAATACTTAGATCTCTTCTTCTAAAAATTGGACGGTCTCTATTCAATCTTGCAACATTATTATTTTCAAGTACATAGAAAGTACAATTAAGAATTTTTATTTATTTATTTTTATTTTATTATTGAGGTTAATCCATGGGTTGAAGAAGTTTCCACTCCAAAATTGGAGTCCTAAACTCAAATGTACATAGGGTTTTTACCCAAGGGAGTAAATAGGCAATATATTCCCGTGGGAGAATAATATCTTTTGGCTTTATAGGTATGGTTAGTTGCAACCTTAAACAATCCAATTAAGGCGCACCTCCAAATTTTATCGTAACATATAATTTTGATTTGAAAAATTCATAAGATTATATAAAATTTTAAACTCCAAAAATGGTTAAAATCAAATATATCTATAAACATATGAAAAGCTTGAAAATAGACGGTCTAGATAATGTATTACAAGATATATTATTTCTGAAAATAAAAAAATATTTTTTTTTATTCATTATTCTTGATGTCAAGATGATCAATTAAAAGGTTTTTCAACATCAAAACAATATTTTCCAATGGATTTTTGAGGCGCATCTGTAATTCTACGATTTAAGAGTGCAACATTGAATAAACTTTTTCCTTTCTTTATTGTCTAATATTGGCTGTGGGGAAGGTGCATGTGTACCCTCTTAGCATCCATATCAATTGGGACAGTCCATTTTCAAGATTTTCAAATATTAATAAATCTTTATAATTTTATAATTAGAGATGGAAAACAAATTTGGACACCAAAACTATGCTCATAATAAAATTATAAAACCACACCCAAAGATAAAACAAAAAGGCACTAAAAAAATACCCTAAGAGCATTTAAGGAGGAAGCATTGCCTTTCACCAGCAAGAGAAAATAAAAAAAAAAAGAAAAGAAAAAGGCAATGGCCTTAAAGATTGCTGCTGAGCGTGAGGCCTACCATTATTGATTAGAGAGTGAAGAGCATTGATATTAAAGGGCCCATTCTAGGGATACGTAAGTCACTGCATCACTTAAGCCATAGGTGTGAGGCCATCACATGCAACCACCCAAACGGCTATTTCCCCATCGAAAAAGAAAATCCCCAACCCTTTAATATAAGATTTCACCATATCAAATGAAAATATCATGAGATAAAAAAACTGGCCCTAGAGAGAGAGTGTGTTACTCCCATTCAAACTTTAGAGAGAGAGAGAGAGAGATCCAAATGCTAAGTTGAGAGAGAGAGAGAGAGAGAAACTTGACCTAGAGAGAGAGTTATCCAATTGCTAAGTTAAGAGAGAGAGAGAGAGAGAGAGAGAGAGAGGAACTAGACCTGGAGAGAGAGTTACTCCATTCAAACTTTCGAGAGAGAGTTATCCAATTGCTAAGTTAAAGAGAGAGAGATAGAGGAAGGTAATCTCCTACTGCAAACTTCTTTTACAGAAAGGCATTAATTGAGGGCACTGAAGAAGACAAGGCCATTAATTGACTGACCACAACTTAACGCTTGCGTTTATCACTCCCCATTTGTTTCCTTTCCTGCTTGGCATTCAATGCCATCAACTGCCCATCCCTGTTCACTCCCCACAATTAAGTTTCTCTCTCTCTCTCTCTTAAAAGACTTCCTTTCCTATCTGAATTATGCCTGCAAAACCATTCAATATCAGGCAATAACTTGAATTAAGAGACCCTTGAAGAAAAGGCACCGACTCTCTCTTTCATAAAAAACTCGAGAAAACTTTTCAACAGTAAAAAATCATTCACAGACGAACATACTTTCAGGTGAAACAAAATTTGAGGGGAACCCCCATCCCCCAAACTCCCCTGGCTGAAAAAACATGGACTTTGAATCATGCAAGGAAAAGCAATCCTATCCATCATATAGTAAAAGTATCAGATTGGGAAATGAGGGCACAATAATGGAAAGATAGAGAGAGAGGGGGAGAGAGTTGTATGTGTTTTTTTCTCTTTGTTGGGTTTAAGAAGGCCTCATAACTGAAGCTTGCTGAGACTTGAACTGGCTCTTGAGATGGTGGTTTCCTCTAATTTTTTTGGACCTTCTTCTTTCTTCTCAACTGGGTTTGAAGACGGCCTCAATGGAGGAGACGCACAAACTGGTACCACTGAGCGTATCTGAACAGCAGGAGCAACTGCATGAGCTCGAATTCCTCCGTTAAAATTGTCGGCTCTAAGAATTCGAGGATTGACATTGCAACCACCCCTAACCACAGGCACCATCAACTGTGGAAGAGACGCAGCTTGAGGCCTGAAAATCTTGGAGCCAGATTGGGTTGGATGGTTCTTATGTTCAGGGTGCGGAGCATTGAAAATTACAGTGTTTTGGAGAGAGAAAGGCCTTGAATACCCACTTCTTGGCCTGAAAACAGGGGTTGGGCCGTTGCTATTGTTGCCATTGTTGATGGGTTCTGTTTCGTTGGGCTTAATTGTGACCTCAGATTTCACACCAAGCCATTCATCTTCATCTTTTTGGTGCTCCTCTAGTGGAGGTTGGACCTCCTGTATCTTAACCTGAGGCCTGGTTCTAATCTGAACTGGCATGACTCTCTTTGAAACAAATGCATGAGGATCATTAGCACAAATTGGAGGAACATTTGATACTCTAGGTGAAGAGTGTTCTTGAGTTGCAGAGGGCTTAAAAATCGTTCCTAAAGGTAAGATCTTTGAAGTTTGAGGTGGGGGAGGAGCAGGAAGAGCCAAGAATCGAGATTGGGTCTGTTGGGGTTTCTGATAAATAACAATGTCTGGAACCCTATCAGGGGATCTCCATTGCTGATATTGCTGCATAGCATTTGAATGTGTAGAGAGAGAGTGACCATTGCTGGGGTTGTTGTTATAACCCATTATCACTCTTCTTCTTGGAATGCCCTGTTGGTGCTGGCTTTGTCTCACTGGTTTAGCACTCTCGTCCTTGGGTCTCAAGCTCGCTAAAGCTCTGGCTACAATGACTTGCTCCTGTTCTTCATTGCTATCAGGATCCCTGTTTGTCTGAGAGGAACCCATGTGCGGCACTACAAGGAAAAATGGTAGAGAGAAGAAAAACAGAATCAGAAAGAGAACCTAGGACGGTTTTGGATTTTAAACAAGATTAGAAATTTAAAATGGAGTTACAAAAAGAACGCAAAGATAAATTTTTTGGTATAGAGAGAAGAGCAAAGTGAGACAATGAACACAGAATATGGTAGAGAGAGAAGAAAAGAAGAATGAGAAAGGGAAGCCAGAGAGAAATATTGGCAGAGAGAAGAAAAGTCGAGTGACAACCAGAACCCAGAGAGGAAAATTGGCAGAGAGAGAAGAAAAACAGACTGAGAAATTGTAATTAAATAAGAGAAGGGAAAGAAAGTAGAGTGAGAAAGTGAACACAGAGAGAAGAAAATGACACAGAGACGGAAAAACAGAGTACAAGAGAAAACCCAAAGAACATTGCATAGTTTTGAATTATAAACAAGAAAGACAATGCAAAGGATGAAAGGGAACCCAGAGAGCAATGCACTTAGTTCTGGATTTCAAAGAGAAGAAGACAATAGAATTGTAGAGCGAGAAAGAAAAACAAGAGAGCGCTGCACTTAAGGAATTTAATCAAGAAAATAGGGAGAGATTACAGATAGGCTTACATTGTTTGAGAGCCGTCCAGGCAGCCATGGCAGCATTTTTCTCAGCTTGCTTCTTGGTTTTTGCTGAATCACCATTGAATGTCAGACCAGCAAGCTCAACATTGCATGTGAAAACAGGGAGATGACCAGGCCCTGATCTCACCGTAGTGTAAAGAGGGAGGTTTAGCCCTGCTCTATGAGCTGTTTCTTGAAGAAGGTTCTTATAAACCCCTGTCTCATCCTAAACAATGAAACAGTACACAACACCCATATGTAATTACAAAAGTAGAAGACAGTTTCATCCATAAGCTCAAGAACAGAAGAGAAGAAAATGATAAAAAATAATACTTTTAATGAGAGAGACTAAAAATACTTTTAGTGAGAGAGACTGGTTTTTCAGCCTAAAAATGATAAAAACGGAGAAATCGACAATGGGTTTCAAGTAAGATAAAGACTGGTTTCTTTTGCTTAAAGGGAAGAAAAAAATTGAGTCCAATTTGATGATTGAGAAAGAGGCTCGTTCATATGCACAAAAATGGCAGGGGAGAAGAGATAAACAGATGAAAACTGAAATGGGTTTGGTGTGAGGGAGGAAGACCGAGTCTTTGCAAAAAATGACAGAAAAAAGAGAACCAAATTAACATAACACGGGCTTTTACAAAGAGAAAAGTAATGATTTTACATACAAGAACTCTTGCAGCTAAGGACCTGGAGGGTCCTCTTGTAGAGAGAGTATTAAGGGCCACTTCAGCAGCAGCATGCTCAGCTTGTCTAAGAGTGGTGCAATAGTTTGGACATTCAAAGATCTCTCCATTAAAGTTCACTGAAGCTTTAAACCTTGGAGCATGGTCTGGACCTTCTCTGATACAAGCATAAGATGGAAGATTGAAACAGCTCCTCTGGGCTAACTCCTGCAACTGATTCTTATACATTCCTGTAAACAAGAGAGAGAAAGAAGAGAGGGAGATAGAGACAACCATGAAAGAGAGAAACAAGTGAACAAATACCATCAATCTGTGAAGAACAGCAAGGAACCAGAAACCCAGAAAAACCCATAAGCCAAAAGATCAGAAGAGAGAGAAACATGGGTCAGTAGCCTACCTCCCAGGCCTAAATTTCGCCAATATTGCAGAGTTTCAGGCTCTGGAAAGGGCAGGAGAACTCCTGCAAGTTCTTCTCAAGCTGGACATGGAAGGCCTATGAGATCTATGAGAGAGAGAGAGAGAGAGAGAGAGGGGAAGAAGAGAAATGTTACTCTGTAGGCTAAAATTTGAGCCCTTTATGCTGCATATTTTCAATTTCCTTTTGGGTTTTTTTTCTTATTTTCTTTGAAAGTTACTGAGAGGGAAAAAAGGATTCTTTTGCTGTGTTTTTACTGCCAGGTTTAACGCACGCTTTCCCAATACAGCACGGTTTTCCAGTACTGTGAGCCCCAAATGAGCCATTTCCCTTCCGCTGTGCTATTAATGGGCATTTATAGCTGCAAAGCTTTTTTTTATTTTTTTTACTTTTTCTCACTTAGGGGCTTAAATGCAATTGCTTTGGTCCTAACCATGGATTTAAATGCCCTATAAAAGATTCTCTATACCCACCCTCAAAGTCAATGGTCTTCTTCCAATCAAGGCCCTCTCACGCTTTCTCTCTCTTCCCATTCTCTCTCTTAGATCCCATTTCTTCTCTCCCCTGATCCATTTATTTTTGTTTTAGGTCTGTGCTTTTGCTTATTTTTTTTGGGTTTCAGGGGTTTAGTGCATTTGGTACCCACCACCCATTAATTTCTCACCACCCATTAATTTCTTGGACATGTTCAATAGTAAAATTGTTTCATACAGGCTGAACTGCATTTCTTCATATATAGACCAGAAAGTGTAAAGCATCCATCTTTAAAATGGATGCAAGTAGATGTTCTATCTAAAACAAAAGAAACCATTGGTCTAAATATTTTTTTATTAAAATTATTATTTCTGGTTTTTAAATTTTATTTTATTTTTTCATATTCATAATCTCCATATTAGAGATTAAATGTCTTTAAAAATTGGGTCTTAAAATCCATCTCAAAAATAGATTTATTAAGAGGTCCACATTTCTACATATGCTGGCTTGGCCGCATACAATCCGGGTCATTTTCTTTATTGACACTAGGCAATAGATGGGTGTCCATCAATATTTCCAATTATGTTTAAATGAAAAAAATGCTCACCCTCTTCCAAAAACATTTAAATGGATTTACAAATAGGCCAGTACCTTCCTATTTTCTAAAGTGCATTTAGAAATGGGTATTTATCAATATTTTTAATAACAGAGGAAAATGTATATGCTTTATTAAATTGCCAAAGTTGCCCCTCAATCTTTGAAATACCCTAAAAGACTCTTCCACAAATCAATGCTTTAAAGAATTTCATTACAAATTTATTGTTGAAGGTGAATGACTTTAATTGTTCAGTAGTAAGGTGAATGACTAGCAAAAGGCCACCAGTCCTGAGTTCCTCTCTGCTTTTTGCTTATCTTTTAACAGTGTAGTCTAATCTCCCCCCCCCCCTCCCCCCCCCCCTCCCCCCCCCCTTTATTTTAAGGCTTCATAGCCAAACAATTCCAATGCAATTGGCAAATGAACCCAACCTCTATTTTTTATGTCAGTTTTTTCTTTTAAATGTTACCGTATGATGAGCAAGCAGATGGACCAAAAATTTGAAATTGTGGCCATGAGGCGTGAGGCGAGAAACCGCCATATCGAAAGTTCCGTCAAAAATTTCAGAGTGGGTCCTCAAACAATACCAAATTTAGTTATTTGCCAGCATATAAATCAAAACAATGTTTTGCATTTTTCTCTCTCCTTTCATTTTTACTGTATGGTAACTTTGAGATTCTATTCCAAACATAGGTTCTGAGTTTAAGAGCTCCAAACCACTGCATGCCACGCTCCGTTGCATGAACCCCAATTTCTCGTCTTTTCTAACAACCATTTTCCATTATTGTCAAAGTGATTAAATGCATAATTATCGTCGAAGGGTAATCTTATCCTGGCATGCCACCAAAGCTTCAAATACACTGAACCATGGCCCCTGGTTTCCTCGGCTAGCCGTTAGCCAAGTTCAAGATAAGCCTCTCTGTATCTTGCTGCCACATTGGCCCTTAAATTGGAAAGAGGACTAATTAACTTGTTTTATGACCTCCCTTCTTCGTTTTCTTGTTTCTACAACCTTGCATTGGAATGGGGCTGTGACAAATTGGTTTCTGAGTGATTCTTCTTTAAAGGTCCTGTGTCCTCTGTATAGAAAAGAGGGCTGCCCCTGATGAAAATTCAAATGGCAAATATTTCCCATATGAACGGACAAATAGTCCATTCGGCACATATGCTTTGTTGTTCTTGCTTTAGCAAGGGGGGAGCTTGATATGTCTGCAGCAATAGTTCTGAGGTCTCGACCTCCTGACATTGTGTCTTATCTTCTTGTCTTTGATGCATCAAATTGTAAGGCAACTCAATTTGTATCCCTATTCTTTCAATCAATACACATGGTAGGGGACTATTTTCCCGGCTGACTTGCAAAAAAAAGAGAAAAAAAAAAAAAAACAATGCCTAAGCAGGAGCCTGTGATTCCACATGAGCTGCTGCCTGTCCATATAAGTCTGTGAATGAGATTAATTACAACAATCTACCCAAATCAATTATCCATGAAGTCGACCTTTTTTCTTTCTTTATCAAACAAATGAAGTTGAAAACTTTCATCAAGGCCTCTATGCACATACAAGGTAAGGAAACAGACACCATATTACCCATTCACAATCAGACAATCGAATCTATAAATTTCATATGGCACATGTCCTGAAGTTACACAAACAATAAAGTAAAATAAATTGAAAAGAAACAATCAGCCACCCAAGGGAATCGCAATTTACAAGTTGCGAAAAAACCACAATATATCTAGCCATGAAAGAGTGAAACTATATATCAAACAAAAAGAAAAAGAAATCAAGATAATAATCAATAGTTGTCACCTTGAGTTTCTTGCAGACTTAGAACAATCCTTATGTGGGTCATTCTCAGAGGAATGGCCATAGGATTGATTATTCACACTATTGCACTTCATTTGTGGTCGATTATCATTGAGATTTCCTACGACCTTTTGAGGCCTTGGCCTGGGCAATTCTGATATATCATGCAGTTTCCCGAGCGTCTCAACCACAGAATTCATGTGAGGTCTATTTTTTGCATCAAGAGAGAGGCAATGGAGAGCAACTGTTGCAGCCACCCAGGCTGCCTTCATTGGGTATTGGCCATCCAGTCTATTGTCCATGATACGGAAAACCTTACGCTTATCGCCCATGTAGGGCTTGGCCCAATCGACCAAGTTTTGCTCTCCAGTAGGCCTGTTCTTGTCCAGAGCTCGTCGCCCCGATAATATTTCGAGAAGAACCACACCAAAACCATAGACATCACTCTTTACAGTCAAATGGCCTGAAGGAAAAGTAAACAGAACATGAGAATTTTCTATGCATGCTTGTGTGTGTGTGTCTGTGCAAGTTTAAGAAGTTTCAATCTTGCTATGTACAGAACAATAGAGAAGGTAAAAATAGAAACCCAACATGAGAATTTTGTATGCATGAGTGTGTGTTTGAGAACTCTCAACCCAGAAATGCACTAGGCAAGAGGGGAAAAAAATTGTTAAGGTTGGATCATCATGAATGGTCACAAAAAGAAAGCAAAATTTCCCCCAAGTTATTTTGATATAGAAAAATGAAATTCTCATATAGGCATTAAGACCTCATAGCCAATTTTTCGTTTGCCAGCTTTAAAGCTGGACGGGTGATGTTACATCACTCACAAGCAGAAGCATTTTTGTTGATGAAAACGAGATAGGATAGATTTACAAAATAAATTCACATACTGTGAGGTTTGAAGGAAATTAATAATGTCATCAAGTATCAAAGAGTACACTTCCTAAAAAATATATAGTTCCATAGTTCTTCCAAAAAATGATAATGCTACACTGCTTGAGAATCTGGCATCAGTAAGGATGTGTGCATCTAGACAATGAAATTCACATAGCTTTGCTACTTGATTTTGTTTCAATAAATTAAATGGCATGAATGAAGCCACAGCTACCAACAGGAAATGAATGGACAATGCTAAGGACTCTATTTTCTTAAATTTAAGAGAGTTCACGCAATCAAAAGATATCTCTGCGTGCTGCTATGGACAATAGAGCAATTAGCAGCCATGTCAGCCAATGAATACATTAATTATTTAGTTCAGCTACATCTACGCATCATCAAGGAAAAACCATATTTCGTTGTAAATATGTCAATTCATGAAAGAAACCATTGAAAGTGAGTAGGAATAATGTTTTTATTATATATAATTATATAGGAAGGATAAGCAAGGCATTTTTTTAATAGTAAGAAATCAGTAAGACATTGATCTTGACTAGTACGGGTACGGGAATGAAAGCCAAAAGCTTTACTTTTTATAGCAGGAGCTAATTCTTGTAGTAGGAAATGAACAGCCGCAATACTTTTTAGCCATTTTGTCCAGAACTCATAAGACCATGAGATTAGCAATAAGGATATTTTCTCCCCAAACAAAAGATCTATGTCTTTTATCCTTGGGATTTAGGATTCAAAATGAGCACAACACTCTTTTCTTGCAAGGGAAAGCATATGATGAGACCATTAGTCGTGGGAGGCAAGGCACACAGGGGATAGG